AAGACACATTAGACAACACTGACTCACATTTATCCAATGCTACCTATGTACTTGGCCTAGTTTTAAGTACTGGGATACGGCGGGTGACGATACTGATGGGGCTTTTGCCTTCGGCAAGCTAACATTCTAACAGGAGATGAACAGGAAACCCAGTAAACGTGTCTATCAGTCAAACAGCTATGGAGAAAACAAAGGAGCTAAGGTGTCTGGAGGGAGACTGGGGATGGTTTGCCCAGAGAGGAACGGGCAGCGTGTGAGAGGCATGAACAGAGCCAGAATGAACACCCCCCCCCCACCCCCGCCCTCTGTCCTCCGGGATGGATTTTCCCCTGAACCTCCTCTCACCCCACTGGCTGGACTTCCCTCTACCACTGAGCAGACTCAAAATTTTGAGCACATTTTACTTCCTTCATCACACAGACAGGGGCCCACAGACTCAAAATCTGCCTGCAGGTGGACTGTTCTAGATCCAGACTGGGGACGAGGGAGCAGGAAGACCATGTTTGGCTCTCAACCTAAGACACGGCTTCTACCTCCGCTCACTGTTAGCTGTCACGCAGGTGCATTTTGGCCTCCGTCTGCCTTCTTACGCTTGTCTCATTTCTCTGCTGCCTCAGAACTTGGGAAGGGGAAGAACGCTCTTATTAAGATAAAAGTTTTTATCCAATAAGAACCTTCCCTCCCTCCACAGACCTCAAAACTAAATTAGGAACCACTATCCTAATCTATCAAACCTGTCACCTTAATGAAAAAATCTTTCAAACCTTTTACTTAATAGCTCCAAAGACATTGCTAGGGGTGTGTCTGAGAAATCTACCCCAAATGGTATAATAAGGCAAATTCAACAGAAGTAGCAAATATTGGGGGATGGGGTGAGAACGGGGATGATTTCCGTGCCAGCGTCAAACCCCAGGGTACCCTCTTCACCGGTGGCAGCCACAAGGAGGAAGAGGAGGGAAGGTGAAATCCTTAGATATTCTTACCTTCTGACTGCAATATCTACACTTTTTTTTACAACCATGATCGAAAAAGAATTCCTTGAATTTACCTTTTCTCTGAACAATTTAAAAGCACTTTCAATGTATTTGCACACTTGCTTGACAACTTCCTTATGAGATAGGATGGGACTAGAACGTTATCAGGAGGAAATATTCCTGGCCTGGTTACTATGTACAGGGCTCAGTTCTGAGCATTAGGAGGGAGGGAGGGAGGGAAGGAGACAGGAAGGAAGGAAGGAAGGAAGGAAGGAAGGAAGGAAGGAAGGAAGGAAGGGAAGGAAGGAAAAGAATGAAGAGCGGAAGAGAGGAAGGAAAGGCAAAGAATAAGAAAATGATTCCTGACCTTGAACGCCCTACCCTCTATCTCGAAACACTGCTCAGACACACCCCCCCCCAGAGCATTATGCATCAAAAAAAGAAATACAAGACACCTGTCAAATAGATAGATGGTAAAGATTTTTTTAAATGCTCCAGGAGTTCAGGGAAAAGGAACATCTGTTGAAATCAAGAATGATTACAATGGTTTCATGGAGGAGTCCTACATTATTATCTTTTTAATGTTTATTTTTGAGAGAGAGAGAGAGAGACAGAGCGTGAGCAGGGGAGAGACAGAGAGAGAGGGAGACATAGAATCTGAAGCAGGCTCCAGGCTCTGAGCTGTCAGCACACAGCCCAACGCGGGGCTTGAACCCATGTACCGTGAGATCATGACCTGAGCCGAAGCTGGACGTTGAACCGAATGAGCCACCCAGGCGCTCCTCATGGAGGAGTTTATAGGTAGGAGTTTATAGATAGGAAAACATCAGAGAAATGGTAAAACCCCAACTACACACGCTGGAGGAAACGCACTCAGAGACTGCACCTCTGGTAGAAGCTGCTAGAAAATCAGCAATGTGTCCTGGGCTTCGTGCAGTCCCAATGTGGCTGGCTTCCTGGCATTGCATTCTACCCTGAAAAGTGTCTCCTGAATCTGAGGAGAACATTAAAAGGGTCCTCTGTTTCCCCAGATTTCCCACTTGCTCTGTCTCACCGCCCACTTTCCAGCCAGAAGCCCTTGACCGCAACGTACAGGAAATGCTCTTCCCGCTGCGCCGTGCAGACCGGGCTGCTTGGCCACGGCGATGATGAAAAGCACAGACTCTCCACCTACTTGGGTTTGTGAAGGCGGCGAGGTTCTGCCAGCTCGGCTAACACCATCAGGTCTGCAGAATTTTACTACAGACATTGTCTTCTCCCTCGTCAGGTCCCGAGCTTGCCAGGAGGCAAGTGTTAACAGCAGGGACAGTTAGCAACAATCACGAAGTCCTCACGCTCTGAAGGAGGGGGAAGGCTGGCCAGGGTAAGGAGGGGGGGCAGATCAAAAGGGGCATCTGGGCTGTGCTCATCTGGCCCCGGTATATACCGGCTGCCACAGTCATTATATTTTTTCTGGCTGCACAGACATGTTGCTATGGAGCCAATACATGCCACTGTGACTTGGCCTCCAGCAAAGAAAATCACATCGCTGGCGAGAGCGTTTCCCTAGATTTCCCTTAAAGGGGCACCATCGATGGCACTGCTCCAGCTCGGAAACAACAGCAGTATTGTTCCGGGGGCCAGCCCCCCGCGTACCATGACATGGAGCCCAGCCACTCATGTTCTACAAGGTGCACGTGCACGTGTGGGCTTATGTGGTGCAAGCCCGAAGCGTGGGGACGGGTCCCTAGCTGCTTTTTAAGTAAGGAACACATGGCTTCGGTTTCTGTTAAATTTCCCTGCAACTGGTAAAAGTAAACAGCCTGCAGTATTTGGGGTCATGATCTGATGCCTCCTGATTGTCAACTTCAAACTACTCATGACCCCAGTGGGAACCAAGAAACCCAAGCGGTTGGCCCCACCCCAACTTTGCCTTTCTTGCTTCAGGCTTCCCTACCTGTTTCTTTTCTTTCTTTCTTTTTTCCTCTTTTTTTTTTTTGTACTAAATGAATAGTACAAAGCAGGCCCCTCCCCACATTGCTGAGCTCCCTAAACTGCCTTCTATTTTAGTCTTTTCTATCTTCTCTTTTTTTAATGTTTACTTTTGAGAAAGAGGCAGAGTATGAGCAGGGGAGGGGCAGAGAGAGGGGGAGACACAGAATCCCAAGCAAATACCAGGCTCTGAGCTGTCAGCACAGAGCCCGACGTGGGGCTCAAACCCACGAGCTGTAAGATCATGACCTGAGCCGAAGTCGGACGCTTAACCAACTGAGCCACCCAGGCGCCCCTAGTCTCATCCATCTCTTCATCCCACAGAGACCCTTGGGTTCTCCAGGGAGAGGAGATATCACGTCCCCACAATACACAGTGGTGTGTGCTCTGGGGATAAACCTATTGTGCTTTTCTTGGATAAGATGGGAATACGGAAACCTTCAAGTTGCGTGTCTAACAGGTACACATTCCTGTGCTCCGTGCATCCGGGGACAGGACAGGAGGGTCAGTATTAGGGTCGCAAGCAGATGATCACCAGTGAAGTAGCAAAGCCATGTTCCCGATTGCTCCTGATTCTGTTAGAAATCAAACTATCTCTGTCCGCTGGTACGAAGCCACTGAGTTCCTCAATGACGACTCCAGTTAGGGCAGAAGAGAGCCTCTCACTCGTTAAGATGAGATGACTAAATTGCCACGTGAGATGAAATAGCAGACCCAGGCTCTCAATACCGCACTTGGACCGTCCCGCGGTGAGATGCTTTGGGAACAAGCGCATTCAGTGAACAGTGTCCACAACCAGCTCTGGCTCAGGCACCCTTGCAAGGCCCGTAGGTGAACCTCCTGGGGTTCCAGAGCACCATCACAGTCTCCCTTCTCTCTCCATCATACTCCACAACCACACTCTCGTGTGAAAAACAGTACAATCTTTTTTTTTTTTTTAATGAAGAAATGATTCTCCAAAGTGTCTATGCCTGCAGCCCTAATCTGTACTGCACCATCAGGACCTTATTAGGCATCACTCTGCAGGTCCCGTCGGGGGCAGCGGGGAGAAGAAGGGGAGACCACAGTGCAGCTGGGAGTCAAGTGCTTCTCATCATTCCAGCTCTACTGCTGTCTGAGAAGCCCCCGGACGGGGGATGCAAAGCCCTCCGGGTCTCAGCTGCCCACCAGGACACAGGGGCTTTGCCAGATGGCTCTGAGCTCCCATCTAGCGTTCACATCCTATTACTCTCTGTCATGATACTCATGAGATGGTGCATCACATGAACAAAACGGATGGTTTCTCCTTGCCCACGGCCATAGTTCTGTGCATCCATCACAGGGGAAAAAAAGAGAACCTTCTCTCTTATCCTCTCTGCTAGCTGCACGAGAACAGTGATGATGGGAATCATTCATAAGAAGCAAAACACATGTACGGCAAAAAGAAACGGCGTAAAGATACAAGATACAATCTCTCCCCTTCTGAAGGGAAGAGATTTGAGCCTTTTATTTTTTTTCCTTAAATAGTTTATTGTCAAGTTGGTTTCCATATAACACCCAGTGCTCATCCCAACAAATGCCCTCTCCCATGCCCATCACCCCCCTTCCCCTCTCCTCCACCCCCATCAGCCCTCAGTTTGGTCTCAGCATTCAAGAGTCTCTCATGGTTTGTCTCCCTCCCTCTCCCCCACTATTTTTCCCCTTCTTCTCCCCCACGGCCCTCCGTTAAGTTCCTCCTAATCCACCTATATGTGCAAACATATGGTATCCATCCTTCTCTGCCTGACTTATTTCGCTCAGCATAACACCCTCAAGTTCCATCCATGTTGCTACACATGGCCAGATTTCATTGTTTCTCATTGCCATGTAGTATTCCATTATATAGATAGACCACATCTTCTTGAGCTTTTTATTTCCGAGTGGGAAAACCTTCTAGAGAATGCATGCTATGAAGCACTTTTTCTTGGAGTATCACAATAACGGGATATAATTTTGATGTGAAAATATAATAAAAATATATATAAACAATATGCAAGATAAAGTACAAATATATAAAAGAGTCAGAGGATCACTCACCCTATGAAAACGGCAGACTGGTTTCTTTTCACCAAGGAAAAGGACTAATTTCTTTGGAAAACTGGAAGAGAAAAAGATTTTAAATGAACAACATGAAGTCTGTATTCGAGGGCAGTGCAGGTGTGCAGGCCTAGAGACTGTACAGAATCCCAGCTGCCAGCACTTCGGCACATACTAGGCGCGTGGGAAGTGTGTGATGGATGGGTGGATGGTGGATGTTCCATTCTTTGGGTGACCACATGGATTTTGAAAACAGAGCTTTCACTATTTAATATGCAGCAAGTAATCGCATGCATGATTTTTTAAAATTTATTTTTCAGAGGGAGGGTGCAAGCAGAGAAGGGGCAGAGAGAGAGAGAGGGGGACAGAATATCCAAAGCAGGTTCTGAGCTGTCAGCACAGAGCCCGGTGTGGGCCTCGAACCCACAAACTGTGAGATCACAACCTGAGCCGCAGTTGGACGCTAAACGGACTGAGCCCCCCAGGCGCCCTGTGCATGATTCCTGTATCACAAAATGCACGAACCTTATGATAAAGGAGAGTATATGGTGGTGCCCAGGAAATCTTTCAGGTGGATCCGTAAAAATGCGTCTGCAGTCCCACTGTGGGGCTAACTGAAGGTACCTGAATAAGTGTACCCCACAGTCGCCCTGTGCCCTCTCCCCACACCCCTCCCCCACCACAAAATGTACACCCACAGCTCCATGCACTCCCTGCTGATGTCAGTGACCCCACAGGGATCTGTAACTGGGCTCGTAGAGGAATGTGGACTTGGCCATGAGGCGCTGGGGGCCACATCTCGGGCCGACTGAGTACTCCCTCGAGAAAGCCACGGTGTTTGGGACCAAGTGTGGGAAAGAACTGAGATGATGTGAATGTTGATAGTGGAAGCCTGAAAGACGAAAGGAGATCAGGGGGTGACAGCAACAGGCTTCGGAATCTATGTCACAGAAGGAAGCTTGCTCAAGATCCAAGTTTTTAAAAATTTCCAGAGACCATTTTAAAGATGCCTTTGAGGGTTTAGGAGGGGAACGTGAGGCCGAGCTGGTCCAGCTCCGGAGACTGGCACATTTCACATGGTCCCAGGGCGTGTGGGAGTAAGCCTGCGAGCCCGAAGACCCCACTGCTTGCTTTTCCTCCCTCCCATACAAGGAAGACAGTGCTGTGGCCTCTGGGGCAGGAGGGACAGTCTCCTCCTCAGGACGCCCACAGAAGGCAGATTCCCAGACCCTGGGTCACAGATCTCCAAGGCGCACCTCCCAACCTCCTAGACTTTCAGGCTGAGTTAGGGGACCGGAGAGCTACATGGACCACATGGTCCTGCCTCCAGAGAAGTTCATGGTCTAACTGAAAACAGTCCAAGGTAACCACGCAGGACCAAAAGATAGTACCATCTCCGAGCACCTTCTTTTTAAAGCAACACTTTATAATCCGCTCACATACATTAACCTTTTTCATCCTAATGGCGGCAAGATGTCTACAATAAGAACCACGGAGATCAGAAAAGCTGACTTCAGAGTCAGACCCGAGTCTGCACCTCGGCTGGGGTTGTGCATCAGCTGTGGGACTCAAGTTGCAGACACACCCAGGACCCTATCCCTCAGGGGCAATACTCAGACCCACTTCGTATCATGTTTCAAGCTCTTGGTGGGTGCCTGGGATGTCAAAGGCACTTAAGAAAAAGAAGACACTTTGACGCCGCGTGGCACAATGCATTTCTGTGTCTGCAACAATCCAGAAGACACACGAGAGATTTTTGTAATTTCAGAATTTATCAAAATGTGAGTACCCGTATTGCATTCTCTTTCTCTGCAACCCTCAAAATATGATGAGGCAGATGAGAGCAAAGTAAAACATTCACTGTGAACAGTCAGATAATATATAAGAGAAAACAGCCCAAAGGAAACAAATCAGCAGACCCCACTAACAATCACGATGAACATTTTGGCTTCTAAGGCTCCAGGCTTTCTCCTGCACTCAAATACACAGAATTCATTATACATACAATTAAATAAATAAAATTATATACATACCTATTATTTAGTCGTAGCATACTATGATAGCATTCACACTGCTTTGCAGTCCGATAATATTTTACTTGTTATATTATAAACCTCTTTTAATATCAACAAATCCATAACCACAATTCTTTTTCATTTTTTGGTTTAAAAACAATTTTTTTGAAGGAGGCTTCATGCCCAGTGTGGAGCCCAATACAGGGCTCAGACTCACAACCCTGAGATCAAGACCTGAGCTGAGATCAAGTGTCAGACGCTTAGCTGACTGAGCCATCTAGGTGCCCCGCCATCAGAATTTTTATAGAACTACAGAAGTACTGCATAAAAGGGATGAACCACTCAATAAACAGTTGCTGAATTACAGAGTCTACCAAAGTGCCCCACATTTATGAGAAATGTGGTGGAGTCTATCAAAATGCCCCACATTTATGAGAAATGTGGTGTCACGTGTGGTAGCATGCGGCTCTTTTTCTTTCACTTTTTTTTCAAGATGGAAAAAGGCAGAAAGGTATAAATATCATTAAGTTTTAACAACAAAAAACTTGGGTTTGAGTGGGTGTCCTTTAAAAGAATACAATCCGGCAGTAACACCACAAGGAATAATATTACAAATGACAATATTCAGCGAGCTTCCTACCTACCAGGAGGGGACAAAACTTTAAAGCCCGGGACCAATGGTGGATGGAGATGTCTGCTCCAGCTATGAAATCACATTAAGTGTGTCCTGTTTTCAGTGTGATGATGGTAAAGTTACTTCGTGATAGAAAGGTAAAACTGAAAATTGTAGATCCTTGAGTGACCTTAAAAATTACAATCACATTACATAAACTTCAAAACTGGAAAAAACAATCAGAATTTACCATACTTACAAAACCTCTAGAAGTGGAATGTTTGTGCAGCCTCAATATTTTTTTAAAAATGTTTTTATGTATATTTTTAAGACAGAAACAGAGCATGAGTGGGGGAGGGGCAGAGAGAGAGAAGGAGACACAGAACCTGAAACAGGCTCCAGGCTCTGAGCTGTCCACACAGAGCCCGACACAGGGCTCGAATCCACGAACCATGAGATCATGACCTGAGTGGAAGTCGGACGCTGAACTGACTGAGCCACCCAGGTGTCCCTCAGCCTTACTGTTTCCAATCCAGTTTCCTTCTTGAAGGGAATGGTTGATTTGGTAAAAACATATGTGATGCAGTTTTGCTTTAGTTGCACAACACATCCTCGTCCTCGATTGAGAAAATCGTGCCATACCTCGAAATGTGACTGACTAGCAACATTTTAGGAAAATACTGCTTTTGGGGAGAGGCTCAGGGAGTGGATGTATCTCCACAATCTGCAAAGAATGTGGGGCTAATTCCCCCTCCAGTTTATGTAATCAACCCTTCCAAGGATTGCCAGCACTTCTCGGACAAGCAGGGAAGACATGGGCACTGGCCGGGAGCAGCAGAGAAAGACAGGACTTCGCTGTGGCAGCAGAGAAATGCCAGATCTGACACCAACTGAAAAATCCCAGAGAGACCAAACGTGGAGAAACAAAGCAGAAAAACGTCACCGTTTGATTTCTGAAACGGCCAATGGACAGGTGCTGGCCACTTTGCATTCTACCTTCCAACAAAAGTTCCCCAAACCTCATCCTTGTCCAGCTGATGCAATTTTTAGGGGAGGTGACACTCTGTGAAGGACTCATGCTCTTAGAAGAGACGTCTCTTCTATTTTGACCGCGTGGAAGAGTCAACATTAGGAGATAAGAATGCAGATCTTAACTTTTAGCCCTGAATGGACTCCGAGAAACTTCTCTCAACAGCTCACACTGGAGACTTTCTATCACAGAATATGGACTAAGCTACTCTTTTTTTTTTTTCTAGGAAAGAGAGAGAGAGAGACAGCGTGAGCAGGGGAGGGTCAGAGAGAGAGGGAGATACAGACTCTGAAACAGGCTCCAGGCTCTGAGCTGGCAGTCAGCACAGAGCCCGACGCGGGGCTCGAACCCACAAACCGCGAGATCATGACCTAAGCGAAAGTCGGACGCTTAACCGACTAAGCCACCCAGGCGCCCCTGGACTAAGCTACTCTTAACAGGTCCCTTTTGATGGTAAAATTCAGGAGCCAGTGAACTGTCCCTAGATCTGGCAGTGAATGTATTATAGGAACAGAGATTTTGCTTTGCTTAACTCTCCCATGGTCCATGCTTTCTCCGTGAGAAAGAACCAGATGGTCAGGCCACACTCTATGCTATGTGGTGTCTCTTCTATGGAGTCAAGGCTAAATGATGCACCTTTTTTATTTTATTTTTTTAAAATGTTTTTTATTTATTTCTGAGACAGAGAAAGAGGCAGCATGAGCAGGGGAGGATCAGGGAGAGAGGGAGACACAGAATCGGAAACAGGCTCCAGGCTCTGAGCTGGCAGCACAGAGCCCGACGTGGGGCTTGAGCCCACAAGCCGTGAGATCATGACCTGAGCTGAAGTCGGATGCTTAACCGACTGAGCCACCCAGGCGCCCCATGATGCACCTTCTTAAATGTGCTTTCAAAGGGTCCTTCCTATCTTCTGACGGTGCACACGGGGTGGCCCAATACTCATTCTGTACACCCGACCTGAAGAGACATGGAAACTTGTGCCTTAAATTCCAACATCTTTGTCCAACTGCATGTCTCTGGCAACCATGATCTAGCCAGGAAAACTGTGCTAATGCTATACGCCCCACACTTATAATGTATTTTTGGACTATTGGCTTCGGAAATTTTTGTCTTCTCATTGTATAATCGTGTAGCAAGATTTCATCTGTTATCTCTCATCCTCACAAAAGAAGTTCTATTAGCCCCACTGTTCAGATGAGGAAAACGAGGTTCATGACAAGTAACCCATCTGAGGTCGTTGAGCCGGTAACTGATAAAACAAGAATTCAAAGCGGGGTCTGACTGGGTTTCACAGCTGAAGAGAAGAGAGATGAGTGCCCCGACACCATGCATGTGGCTTTTTGTAAGAAAGTCGCAGTCCAACAGCATTCTGTGAAACATGCAAACGAGCACCCAAATAA